TCTCTCTCTCTCTCTCTCTCTCTCTCTCTCTCTCTCTCTCGTGTGTAAGAAAAGTACAAGTACGGTATATTTAATCATCATGTCCTTTTGGCAGATTATGTAGGTGTTGGGTTACAAGTTTTTGTCGTAAAGAGGTCTCTCACACGCACACAACAAAAACTACTAATGGAACTCCAAGACAGTGCATAAAAGCATCAGTCAGTGTTTGGTCATGTTTATGTATTTCCGTTGCCAACCTCCTCAGAGACTTTCTCACTGTAATCCCTTCCATAAAGCATGGCTGTCTCTTCACATATGTACTTGGTTAGTTTCAAGGGACCTACGAGGATCTGCTTTTTAACATTAGTCTTGATGTTCCCACAAAAACCCCCTCTGAACTCTGAACTCGTATCTTATCTGCACTATTTCTGTCCTAAGAGCAGTCTGTGTGTCTACAGCACTGTTTTTAGTAACAGACATTTAGACACGCATATGCTCCTAACATAGTCCTTGGTCTTTAATCTAGTGCATTACATGATGTTATATCTGCAACATACACAAACATTCTGTCTGATTATAAGTGACATTGAACTGCAACGACAGTGGGTGGCACAGCAACTCTTCTAAACTGCGTCACATGATTGCAGCATATAACGCATATACGTTTTCCTACGTTCATGGCAACCCAACACACAGCGCCGTTGTAGGCCAGATGTCAGGGCATCACTGCTTTGTAAAGCCTTCTATTAGTTGTTCCGAGTTTTGCCTAATTAGGCTAAGTTGCATAGCATGAAATGAGTCTGCAGAATGAAACGAGGCTATGAGAAGGGTAATAGCCTAGAACGATCCTTCCCAGGCTGCCGTTCAGATCCTCCGAGGCAGGGCTGTAATGATCTCTGGGTGAGTGCTCACAAGAAGACAACTAAATGGTTTGAATTTAAAAAGCTACACAAATAAGTTCCCCATTAGAGGGTTTAGGATTACGAATAGGGTAGAATGTTAGAGTCATAAAATCCTGTTGTGGGGGAGATCTGTAGGAAAAGAGATGGGGAGGTGCTGAACAAGAGGACACTATATTACAGGGTTTGTCTAAAATGTCCTTTTCTACTTGCTGGTTTTGGTCTGGTCTTCAAAATCTCTTCATGTTTTCCTAGGAGTGAGAGTGACAGTGAGGAAGAAGAGGAGGAGCTTCCACTGCTGTCAGAGGACGAGATGAACAAACTGGGAGCCAAACTGGTGAAGGCGGAGCTTATGGGCAACACGGTGAGATGGTTATGTCACTGTTTGTCACTGTATCGGGCTGAATATGAGACTACTCTGATTATAAGACGACTCGCCGTTTTCCAAAAATATATATTTTTTCAAAGATGGGAAGCAATTTGTGAGCTTCGTGCTGTTTGTGAAAGTGTCCCTGAGGTACTATCATTCCAAGGAGAAGATCTCTCGTAAAAGTGAATCATAAGTTACTTCCGTTAAAGCAGGACATAAATCCCACATTTGTGGAGCTGGTCTACCAGTCATACACACACTCAGACAGGCATTTTTTTACTGGCTGTTGCCATTTTTTTTCGGTTTGGGAGACTCTGCCAGCTCGTTTTCACGCACCAGGAATTCATTTCCATGCAACACGAGTCGTCATAATCTCCTGAAGGTTAAACTGGGCTAAATAAACACTTTTAGGACTGACCAACCCCCAAAGACACATTGCAACTTTTAATGAAGAAACCTTGCTAGCTCAGCAACATTAAGGCTACAGACAACCCATAATCCAACACTCCCTTGATTAAATGTTATGTACTTTATGAACCGGTACCGTCTAGTCCTTTTTTTATCTACTGATCACTTTAAAGGTGTGGGATACAAGCATTTAAAGATACTAATCACACATGTGTCACAGATAACATTCACAGTACATTTATATCATTTTGTAGAATTTAAAAAACAGCTTGTACTCATTGCAATATAAGTACATATGATTTACTCTCTTTTTTTACACATTTGCTTTTGACTGTTTGCGTGGATTTAACGGCCCATTGATTTCTAGCGTCCATTGAGCTGTGCACTCTGTCTGTCTTCACGTGTCAATGCTAAGCGTGCTATTGGGATCTCTTATAGAGTGTTACAGAGCTGTCTGCTACAACACACACACACACTTACGCACACTCTCACATCTATAGAGCGTTATGAGTGTTATGAACCTGACATCCAGCATCTCTCTACACGGAAAAGCAATCAAACCGATATTCCCAAACCACATTGTGTGTGTATGTGTGTTAAATGCCTTTAACACTCGTGCACTTACCTTTTTTGTCTTGTACATAAAGTTATCGATATCTGTCACAGCCGTATGGCTTAAGAGGTTGTGTGTGTGCTTGAGACAAATGTTTTTTTGCTCTCAGTCCTCTGTAGTTTAGCCTCAAAGCCTTTTGACCATCGTCAAAAAACATTAGAGAAAATAATCTATACTATGTATTAAACTGCAGCTCATAAAACATTTACAGATGGCATTTTTATTTACATATCTGCCAACGTATACACCCATATGACATTAATATGATAATCCAGTAACAGCTGTTAAAATAAGCCTTCCACTGTATGTCAGGCGTCACTTTTATAGGCTGAAAAAAGGTCAAGAAGGCCTCTTTATTATGTTCTTAGATTTCCTTTAAGACTGTGTAAGCACATTGTGTGCTCAAAAAAACCTGTACACAACGATATTGACTGATCCTAGTGTTGTGTGTCTATGTTTCAGGCCATGGTTGAGAAGCTAAGATCACAGCTGGACGCGGCACACAAAGCCAAAGAGAACTACGCCGCCCGAAAGCAGCTACAAGAAGAGGCTAAATCAAAGCAGGTCTGTAAATACGATATGTCAGTCGTCTTGCACATTCATTGTCACAGTCTTTGTAGAAGACAGGTTGCAGCAGCATCCATCTCTCTCACTGTACAAGTGACAAAAAGTGCCTCATACTTGTCTTCAGATGAAACCAAACCCTCTGCTGTTATTACGTCTGACTGCTTTTAAAAGGAGTTTGTTTGTCCGAAGTCTCTCTGCTGCTCTGCACTCATGTCTTGCTGCCCTCATGGAAAAAGGCTCCCGCTTGGCATGTCAGCAGACCCTCTAATGGGGAAACCAATGTCTGCCAGTGTGCTGCTGACGACACTCTCCTACCAGGGGTCGTTCAGATAGTGCCCCCCGGTGTTATGTGTGAGAGAACAAGAAAGAGAGGGAGACGGTAGAGATTATATGTGCCATCCTGTCTGCGTCTGTACAACAGGCAATTAACAGAGAGCAATGGCAGTGCCCTGACACTTCAGCACTGCTTTATGTCCTGTCTCTTTGGCATTGCTAATGCCTTCTCTGGCTTCTCTCACACACACACACACACACACACACACGCAGCAATAAACGTAGGTCTATTTCCAACAAGAGCAGACTCCTGACAACTTTATAAACGTATGGAAAGCAGGCTGATTATTTCTATGGACCGTACAGTATATCATCATGTGAAAGTTAGGCCAGGTTCATCCCCTCTAAGGCGGTCCTGTCCAAATTAAAAGAAGTGTGAAATCCCTCCGAAACATTTCTAGGAAAATATAATCACTCTTGGGCTTTAGTGCACTCATCAGCTGAGAGGTGCTTCAGCACTAGAGATGGAGTGCTGTTGATTTGCACTCTTTAGAGATCCTTCCGATCTGTCTTGTTATAGAAGACTTCTGGCTTGTCTTCGCCATTCAGTGTTTTGACTCGTGCTGGCTGTCAGGCTCATATTTTCACTGCGGAGCCTTGAGAGGGAAAATATTCTCTTCTATCATTTTGTTTCTGACAGTCCAGTGTAAATGTCTTGTGACTGCCTCCTATCCTCTCCGCTGCTCCCCACTGTGTTCTTGTTTCTGGGCTGTCTGTCTCGACCTGTCAGGTCGAACTCCAGTCTTTGTGCAACTCAGACTTCAGCTCCTCAAAACTTTTTGACCTTTTGAAAAACACAGACCTGTGTTGAGTTCTAGATTGGCACTGAAGCAGCAGTTTTATCACATCATTCTACCACTGAAGTTTGAGCAGAAGTCAGAAAACGCACCACTCTTTAATTAAAAGTGCTCACTATAACTTAGCTCTCAAACGTATTTGTCTTCACGGAGGAACATCTTTAACTTTTTCAACTCTTTGGGAGTACTGTTCCCCCCCATTGCTATACAAAATCAAAATGTAATCAAAAGCATAATGACCTGGCTGTGGTTTTTTTTTTTTTTTTTTTTTTTTTTTTTTTTTTTTTTAAAAGGCCACAGGTCGCACCAGTGAAGACCAGGAAGTCCTGCTGTTCAGAACAGACCAATCAGGGCGTGCCTGGCCAGTCAATGACCCCTCTGGACTCCAGGATACCCACGGAGGTCGACGGAAGAAGAACAAGGTAAAGAGAGAGGGATGACTGTAGAAAAGTAGAACGGAAAAGATTTTCCCTTTTTTGACATTCGGCACCCAAATTTCCAGTGTATTTTCATGTTCGCCACCTCGTCTCTTTTCTCACATTCCTCTCCCTTTCCCCCTCTCATCAGATTGAGACCCATGTTGACGGGGAGCGTGTGCGCTACTTCCAGGACGATGACAATGTGGGTCTGAAGGAGATGGTGAGGAGGGAGAAGATGAGCTCTGCACAGGATCAGAACGCCCTCTACTCTCGCATGGCTTCCAAGGTATGAAAACGTTAAAGTTAAACGTTAAAGCTTAACAGTGAGCTCAACTTATTTGAAATAGACCGATAGTAATAGCAACATGGCATCTTTGGGCTTATTCCTCAGCCTGGCAACACAAGTGGTTTCTGCTAATGGACTAGGGGCTTGTGCAAGATGTAAACATGAATGCCGTCCTCCTCGGCTGAGCTGTAACGCTAGCGAGCTCATTAGTTTTTAGGTGAGTTAGGAGTATCGAGTACAGATGCACGCTTCCTTCTGTGCGGTGATACAGTCGGCGGGTGTAGTTCAGTAGTTTTGTTGGCGCTTTGAGCACCACAAGCCGATTACCATCTAGTCCCTCTACGGCTGGTATCTATAAGTAGCTCTACAGGTTAGAGGAAGAATCTGTATTTTTGATTTTGGGGTCCTATTTTCAAGAAGTTGTTTTCAGATCAGTTTAGTTGGGTTAAAAATAATGAATCAATGAAGGACAGAGCTGTTTGTACCTGAATTTGGCAAACTCAAGTTAGGCGGATCAAGTTGGCTTCCACTCTGGCTTTCGTCAGTTGTTGCAGTCGCTCATACCTAATATGGGTACAAGTGTCTCCAGATCACCGTCTGTATTTAAAAGATCATCATCATTCTCTTAGTTTTTAAGTTATTTTGTAGTCAAATTATAAAGCCTACTTTATGAACTATTAACTTTTAATAAAGTATTACTTAAATGATGTAATAGAAGGAAGTAGATCTTGGACTGATTAGATCAGCTGTACCTGAGAACCTGTTAAATACAACACCATGTTGCTCCCCCAAATACATACTGAAGGTTCCATTGTTTGACAAATCAAATTTGGGAAATGGATTACTCATCGCAACTGCATGGGATGTAAACAAGGTTAGATGAAGGCAGACAGAAATATGGCATGGTAAAGGTACAAATCTACAAAATCTATGTGTGTTTATGTGAAGGATTACCTTGATTAGTTGTTATACTTTTAGGGAGGATAGATGTTTAGGATTTGTTCTGTCAGATTTGTATGCATCTGGTTCTGTGTTGTTATCCATTCTTCTCCATCCACTAGTTATTACATCTACTAGTCTGTCTGTCTCTCTCTCTTTCTCTCTCCCTCTCGTTGGGAGGAGTTGCTATTGCAATAATAAAAAAAAAAAGACAAAATGCTTTAGCTTTCCATGTTTTCCCTTTCATTGACTTCCTCTGCCCTCACTCACTCACTCACTCACGCAATCACAATTACTCGCCCTCACTCATGTATTCATTACACATGCATACGTATAAAAATACACACACAAACACTTGTTCTGCACCTACAAAGAGTGACACTAAAAATACATCTACAGTTACCAGGGCAGGGCTTCTATAAATACCAGTTTCATCCATCGGTCAGAGACGGAGTCTGTTAGCAGACAAGCATTGTCTGGAGATGTAATGTAGTGTATTTACAAACAGAATATGAGAAGTGGACCAAACACATGTCAACCCTTCTACTCGCTGAATTCATAATCTATCATTTAAATTACATCAAGAATGTGTCAATTTATCATTAGCTAAGACACGTAAAGAAATCATCAACAGTGGAACTGTTGTATGTGTGTTGTCTCTTGTACAAATGTAGCATGTGCTGCTACACACTTATGTGCAGTCCTTTGCACACACTCACTCCTACACACACACAAACGCACACATTCCCGCCCACACTGTCACTAAACTAATCCAATTTTCACTCTCACTCACACACACTCACTCCTACACAGCGAGTCATGCACACACACTTCAGCCACGCTCGCCCATGCACAACCATTCCAACCTGTTGCCCGGTCGCCATGGCGACAGGACTCAGACGTAGAGACACACCGGGGTCGATACTCGGCATCCTGCCTCACACTGTTCTCTCACACACACACACACACACACACCAGAGACCAACTCGCATACAGGGCAAGTAGGACGGACGGTCCTGTTGCGTCAGCACCTACAGACACCGTATCAATAAAACCTGTCCATAATTTGCTTAAATATACCTCATATATATACTTTAGAGTGTATTCTGTACCAGATTTGGCCAAGACTGATCACCCTCCTGTTTAACTCTTCTCCGTCTCTTCTGTTGCCCCCGTCGTCTCCACCACCACTTCAACTCCACTCCTTTCTCCAGATGATGGGGAAGACGGACGGCGACAACTACACGCTGGATGACATGTTTGTGTCGAGTGCAGCGCAGCGGGAGGGCGAGGGGAAGGAGGAGGAGAGGATGAGGAGCAAAGCCATCGGGGAGAGTAGGAGGCTGGCTGCCTCCATGGAGAAATGCCAGCACTGCTTCAGCAGCCAAGAGCTCCAGAAGCACCTCATAGTGGCAATAGGGAGCAAGGTAGGGGGTCCTGAATACAGAATGTTTTTGGTCAGTCAACAATTTAAAGATAGTCTTTTGTCAAGCAAAAAAAGGAAATCATTCACTTGTTCATGCTTCTCAAATATGACCATATGCAGGTTTTCTCCTTGAAATGGGGCGGAAACAACGATTATTGACATTATCGAAGAAGAATAAGGAAACCAGAAAATATTGATACTTTTTAAGCTGGAACCAGAGAACGAATCCGAACAACAAATGAATTATTAAAATTGCCAGAAAATGAATTGGCAACAATCAACAAATAGATGAATGGCCTCATCATTGCAGCTTTTTAATTAAATTAAAAAACTTACGGTTTAATTTGCCGGTCTGAAAAAAGAAAAAGGCACATAGATAGATGAATTGATGCATTACTAAATTGTGTGTGTTCTCCATCTTGTGTCCAGGTGTACTTGAGCGTGCCTGCGGGAGTGTCGATGTCAGAGGGCCACTGTCGAATCTGTCCACTCCAGCATCACTGCTCTGCCACCGGATTGGACGAGGACGTGTGGTCAGAAATGCAGGTTAGCCAGTCAGCGCTCTAAAGACTAAAAGGGACAACTTCCAATGTCAGTGTTTACCTCAAACAAGAACGATTAAAATGTAATGGAGTTGTTGCTCTGGTGTTCTCAGCTGTTCCGGCGTACTTTGGTGCGAATGCTCGAGTCCCAGGAGCTGGACTGTGTGTTCATGGAGACGCACATGAACCCACGCAGAAGACAACATATGGTCTTGGAGTGTATCCCACTACCCCGAGAACTGGGCGATATGGCACCTATATACTTTAAGGTCTGTCAGTGTTTGTGTTGATGACTCGTCAAGTTCATTTTGTCAAGTTTTACACTGGAAATTGAGTATTGTAGGGATAGGTATTGAGTTTTTGTGTGCCTTCAGAAAGCTATAATGGAGTGTGATGAGGAATGGTCCATGAACAAGAAGGTCGTCGACCTCTCTTCGAAAGATATCCGCCACGCTGTAAGCCCGCTTCATTCGTCTTTCCATCAGTCTGTCTTTCACTCCCGTCTGTTATTTCTGTAATATTTCTGGTTTTGTCTGATTCTTGTACTCCTTGTTAATTGTTGCTACTTGTTCGTTTGATGCCTCTTAGGTTCCTCGAGGTCTGCCCTATTTTGCTGTCGACTTTGGACTCCAGGGAGGGTTTGCTCACGTCATTGAAAATGAACAGAAATTCCCCCATTACTTTGGCAAGGTTAGTGTGTGCATTGAGACTGGTTTAGCTAGTAGAAGACACTGTCCTTTAGTTCCAGGATTCTATACAATGTAACTAAACATGTGTGACTGTGGGTCACAGCTACAACTGGTTTGATAAAAGTGCATTAATGACATATGTGACAAATGCAGTCGTACATTTTGCCTACAGTAGCTATACCTCTAGCATTACGCCAATGTTGTTTCAAATGAACATTGTAAGGATTTTATTCTTTATTTGAGAGTCACTTTTTTTCTGCAATAACAAATTTATTCTAGTTAGTTTTACAGCAATATTTCAATATTACCAAATCCCTCTTTCCCCTCACAGGAAGTGGTCGGAGGCATGATGGACTTGGAGCCGCGACGTTGGAGGAAGTTGATCAGAGAGAACTTTGATGACCAGAGGAAAAAAGTCCTTCAGTTTGCACAGTGGTGGAAACCCTACGACTGCACCAAGACTGAGGGCTAGCTGGACACGCTCTCAGAAGGGTTTACACTTTGCTGAGTAGTGAAGATCACACACACACACACACACACACTGTGGTGCAGACACTGTCGCACCTACTTATTCAGAATTTGATGTAAAGTTCCTATTAAAATGTATAATATTAAACGGTTTTAATCAAATAAAAAAATAAATGAAACAACCTTGTTATTTGTATGTTGCATAACATCACACATGCCAGAAGGCCTAAACACTGATTTGTGTGTACTTTTTGAAGGTATTTCAGTATCAAATAAGACTCTAGGGGAGGTTTTTGTCTTAGTTAGTTCTTTTGAGCTGGGTTGGTGGGTTGTGGAACATCTATGAAGCAGTTTCTGGCGCCAAAGTCCTGAGTTGGAGTCGTGTCTCTGTGTCAAAGGCTCTTTTTTTTTTAAAGCTTCTCTTTCCAGTACTGACCCTCCTTGCTCTCCAGCCCTGTTCTTACTCTGTGGCCTCATGATCCTTTGCAGCTGTCTCTTTATTCTAAGAGGTTTCAGTGTCATCACATCCACATGTGCAAGTGTATACATGAGCAATCAGCCACCTTGCCCTGACATGCGACCCCGTCTTTTTCAGCTATTGGCTCTCTAATTAGCTCATCACTTCAGAGACCAATCTCATTTCCAGGTGTCATCTCAGACACCATGTGGTGCATGGGTGCAGCTGGTTAGTGCTGAATTTGTCTTTTGTTGCAGTACTCATACATATGTTGTCACAAGGAGAAAAATATTCAGGATCAGGTTTTCTCTCTCTTGCAGAGAGCTCTACAAGAAACACTATCTGTGAGAGTCTAAATAGATCCCATGGGTCGACTCAGTTTTCAGTCATTTTTTAATATGTGTAGGATCATCTTTATCTATAAACATCATTTGTGGTATATTTTAAACCCCCTGAATATAGAATATAGAAATGGGAAAGTATTCTAACTTTCATATAAGGAAGAGGGACGTCACCCTGCAGTATGTTTCAATCCATAGTAGTGAAATATTGTCTCCTGTAGTCTCTTGAACACATTTATCACTTTGGCCATTTCATTTATAATATAACAGTTTGCATTCATTTCACGTCACATTGAACAAGGGTGTATGCTAAAAGTCAACTTTTAAATCATTATTATAGCATCACCTTGGTTTCACTGTAAAGATCAGCAGGCCGTGGCTGCCACAGTATTTTTGCTGCTCGGCAGTCAATGGACTGTGGATTATTTATTGTTCATTGAGTATGATGTAACCGCCAAAAATAAATCCCACAGTCAAAATGTGTCTTCAAAGGTTCGATCATAATGTGATAATTTTAACTGAATCCGTAATGCAGTTTTTATTGTAACACCACAACAAGCAATTTTCTACTCTTTAACCCGATTTGTACCTTTTGAAACCGTCCCGTGGGACAGTGCAGCAGCTTATTTATAAGAAGCAAGTGACAGAGGACCAGGTTCATGGTTAAAAGCAGCAGAGTGGCCTGGGGTGATATATGGTTATGGCCAATTAGATTGACTGGGGGCAGATTTATGACCGAGACAGACATTTCTCTCTCTGTCTGTGCTGCACACACACACACACACACACACACACACACACACACACACACACACACACACACACACACACACACACACACATATGTCCTTTCTAGTTATTTTTAAGGCAAAAAAATACAATGTACTCTGTCACAAAATCGAAACTGACATGCTTGCTAAAGAACGCACACACACAGAAGAACTAAAATATCTAAAATGCTCAAGTTTGTGTGTGATGTGGCAGATAATGGATGAATGTACAATTGTGTTTTATGTTGCGAGTGTGTCTGTATGACTGGTTGCTTATCTCTGGGGAGAACCTGGTTTTGGCTCACTGGTGTGTGTGTCACCGGGCTAAACCTCTTATCTTCCTGCATTCCTCAACTACAACAGGCTGAAAAACTCTGCTAAATATGTGTGTTGGCTCCTGGCTGGTTTTGTCTATATATGGTTTGTCTCCTTTTTTGCATGGATTCATTTGAAATATCTGTTTGTGTGAGTGCATGTTTCTGTATATGTGTGTGTTAGACGACATGTAAATATGCTGCAGGGTTGTAGCTGAGGAGACCCTGTAAATCTGTCTGCCAAACGTGAGTTACATCTCCCTTCTCTTCTAATGTAGTCTAATTTACTGCAATCCTGTCAAATTTATTGCTTAATGTTTAGAAACTTTTACATCTGCCTTAAAGGTAACTAGTGTCTGATTAATTTAAATTTATGATAACCTTTACATTGCTTATTTGCATTCAAATTAAGTTTTTGATCAGTCATACCATAATATCGTAAAAGTTGCCAATGTGCCCCAAATGTTATGTCACCACAGAAAAGGTATATGAACAAAACTTAATTATTGACTATCATCGTTACTTACAAACACAATCATATGGACGAGTGCATGAAGATTACCATAATTCACCTAATTGTTCAATCCAGTTCAGTTGTAGGAGGCAATAGCGCAGAGACTCAGGGTTAGACTGCTCCATACTTCATTTCCATGGTATTGTTATTAAAATTTGCTGCCATCCATTTTAGCTGTACCTATTGAATAAGATTACCATGATACCAGGAGGTGCCCCTTCTATTTATTTTAATTCCATGACCGCGCAGTTACTGAGTTATTGCCCTGTCTGCACTGGCTGGCTGCTAGTGGGGCTTATCTTCACTGGAACAGTATTTTATTCCATTGCTGTGTTGGCTTTATTAAATAGACACATTATTACTGATGGATAGCAGACTGATTGCTAAGAGCAAGCGACCAGATAAGGAAATGGGAAGAGAGACAGAGAGTTAGAGTGTGTGTAGTGTGTTAGTGCATGCTGTGTGTGAGAGGAAGAGAGTTTGTGTGTGTGTTAGAGAGAGAGAGAGAGAAGGAGCTAAATTATATGCAATGTATTGGGGTCATGCTGCTCTAGAAAGTCAAATGAATTAGTCGGCACCTCCAGGAAATTACACTGTGTGCGTGTGCGTGTCATGCAAGCATCATGTCTGTTTCGGTGTCTCGCTCTCTGCTTGTCCCTTTGGGGCCCTCAATGACCAGACATGCTCTGCCAATCGAGGTCATGGTCATGGCTGTGATTAGTGGCAGAAATGAGCGTCATTCTCTTCTCTAATGGGAGGCTACAAGCGTGTGCCACTGCTGCCAGCTCCATTATCTGCCTGTGGAGCCATATTTGTCCTTGAACACATTTGGCACATTGCCATGAACTTGGTTTATTGGCCATGACTGTTGTTAGATTATAATCAGATGTTGCTTAATTGCAGTTTTCAGTTAGTTAATTAAGGAATAATCACCTGCTGTTTGTCGCCAGCCAAGATGTCAACATGACTGTATATGACACTGTAAAAATAAATCGGAACAATAACCCTAACTAAAATGTTGTTTCTTTTATTTTAAATTGAATAATTTTGCTGTTTGGCCCCATGTTGATGCGCCTCGCCCTCACCGACCACCTGTCTGTGTTTGAATGCCCATTAGGTACAGTGCACACAGCAGACTACACATGGCAGCTGCATTGTGTGCAGAGACCAACCAGTCACCCTATGCCGTAATACTATGTTTTACAAAACAATCCCTAATGAAGGCCCGCTTGGCTTTAACCGTATCACACTGTCTTCACCAGCCGGGGGAGTTTGATCAGTTGCCATGGAGATGGATCTGTTCACATGTGAACTGTTATGATTTTAGGATGATCCATGAAAGTCTAATCTAGACCGTGGAAACAGTATTTTATTTCAAAACAATCCAGACTCAATGTCCACTTACTTGTTTTCTTACTTGCGGAGCTTTCAACCATTTCACACTATTTTATGTGTGATTGAATATTGTCCATTATTCCCAATTGAGTTAAGGAAAAATATTACAATAAATGAAAAACATATAAACAGGATTCGTAATTTATCCACCTGACAGGGTTTACAGCACTGTAAGCCTATTTAGATCACCGAAGGCAGATACAGAAAATGTAATTAGGCTAAATTTACAGGACATTTTTCACAGACCACTGGTTTGGTCGTTAATGTAAAATATTTTAGGCAGAGGTAATTTGGAGTCATCACACCGATGATGTCTCATCTGTGCCCCTCACTGTGAATTCTGCCAATTATGTTAATACCATAGCTATAGCCAACTTTACCAAAAAGGTGTCGAGTGTCTGTCTGTCTGTCTATCTATCCGTTCACCGATTGGTTGTGTTTTTGTCCAACTAAAACGCCAAACTGCGCGCTGATGCATACTTCGCAGCGCGCTCAGCACATCGCCGGTGCGTGCTGCCGTTGGCTGACAGCGCGCGCTCTCTCTCTCTCTCGCTCTCTCTCTCTCTCTCTCTCTCTCTATCTCTCTCTTTCTCTCCGCGTCTCCCCATCTCACGCACCTCCACTCCAGCCACCTCTCTCACTGTCCGCACTCCGAGCGACGACCAATATAGAGAGACGACACCGAACAAGAGCAGCGGTGAATGACTTACAAGTGAAGGATGGAGGAATGATGAGAGGACGGTTGGTTGGCAGACAGACAGGAAAACCGCTGTCGCAGAGGACGAGAAGGAGTGGAAGCAGGAGGCACGGAGGAGAGAGAGGGGAGCAGTCACATCTGCCGTGACTTTGGGGATTTCTCTCCCGCAGAGTGGAGAGGAAAAAGGGGAGACGCCACATCTTCCGGATGCCAAAGAATCACTGTGTGTGAGAGGAAGGATTCACATGTGTCGGAATTACCGTGGTGGCCCAACATGCCGATTTTTGGCGACCTTTTTTTTCTGTTTTGCAATTTCGTCAGCTAATGTAACATAGTTGCGTCGCGAGGCCAATACAACTTAAAACGGCTTTAAAAAAAATGTTGACAGGGTTACTCTGTATATTTAATTTTTTGAAGCATCCTTTGGAGAGTGTCTGGCCTGTCAGTGAGATTTGTTTTGGGGGTAAAGGAGGACGTTTTTTTTTTTAGAGGAGAGACCCCCACCTCCTCCCCCCCCTTACATAAATGTTTGCGTGCCGTTAGTGCTCTCGTTCTCGGCAGACCACCCCTCTCCCACTGAATAGGTTGCAGAGTCTCACACGCAGACAGACGCATCTCATATGCGCGCATAGACAGAGACCGACCTGGACATTATCAAACGCGCACGCAGACGCACATCTCACATGCATATATAATTATACAAACAGACCTTACCCCCCCCCCCCCCCCTCCTCCTCCTCCTCACCCACTCAACCCTCTCACCCTCCACTATCTGATGACTCCCCGGCGTAGTACGGAACCGACTGTAGCAGCAGCAGCATCATCATCCTCCTCAACACTGCCACTGTCATCTTCACAATCACCCTCCTCTTCCTCGCTACCACCATGTCCTCGTCGTCGCGCAAGATCTCATCCGAGTCGTTCAGCAGCTCGGTGGGCTCGGACTGCGGGCTCGAAAGCCCCGGCGGAGACCTAGGGGACGGCGCGTTGGAGCCGGCGGAGGAGAGCCGAGGCTGCCCCTTCTCCTCCCTCCACTCGTCCCACAGAGCGGTGCTCTGGAACGGACGCAGCCCCGCCGAGAGGCCGGCAGCGTGCCCGGCGGGCGAGGAGCCGCAAGGAGGGCCCCACAAGAGGGTCACCAGGAGGAGACGGGTGAACCTGGACTCGCTGGGGGAGAGCCTGAGGCGACTGACCTCACCCACGGTAGGCCTCCAGCTCAGTCAGAAGGGCTTTACTGTGTCTTAACGAAATATCAGTAAATAGTCCTAAATTGTAATGCCATAGCCATAAAAGGCATCTTGTACATACCCTACTTTCATGTTCAATAAGGGTCCAATGAATAGCCTAACTAAATGTATAGAGCATTCTACTGGAATCAGTTCAAATGTATTAGATCCAGTTAGTTTGTCATTCTGTGTTCAATTAGAGCTGAACATTATCAACCAGATCAATGACTGTAGGTCGTCAGAAGACATTCAGTAGCCTATTTTTTTTTTTTTTTTTTTGAGAGAGAAAGTCAATATGATGACCAAACAGCCAGAGGCATATATTCCATTCCAAACAGCTGTCACCAAAGTTGAGGAGGACACACAGCCTTTAAGAGCAAGAGAAAGACCTCATTCAAGGTATTCCACCATTGTAGGCTATATTGTCTGAAATCCCAGACAATGTCTTTTCTCACATCATCACGTGACGCTTGCTGTACTGTCTGAAAAAAAAGCTTCTTTTCATCCTTCAGCCTGAATCATCTGGCAGATTATATAATAAATATATTGTTGTGAGGGAGGGAAGGGAGCGAGCGAGAGAGAGAGAGCGAGAGAGGGGGAGAGAGAAGCCCATGCTCTGTCTGTTTATATGTAAGGAGTGTGACGAGTGAGCCTGTTTCTGTGTGTCTCAGTTGTATTACCGGCTCTAATGTAATAAAGCAGCTATTAGAACGGAGTCCAATTGTGATGGATGATGTGCGATTAGGGCATTTGCTATAGCATAGTCCCTTGTGATGGGAGGCTACATCAGTTTGAGATTTGATTGCATCTCCTGTAATGTGGCCCCTGTTAGTTGGGCAACAATAACATATACCAGTATGTAGCATGGATCAAATAATTAAAATTCCAGTCTGCAAAATGTGAATCTGCATCAGGAAATATTGCTTCAAATTACAATATCCAACTTTAAAGGTAATTTAATGTAATCGACAAACTTCTTTATGACTTTAGCAGAGATTCCCTGCCAATATCCACAGACACCAGAATTAATTTATATATATATATACAGTATCTATATACACAAACCAAAACATCTGTAAATAATGCTTTGTTTACATGTGGCCGGTGTGAAGCCCATATTGAGATTCTTATGTTGCTCTGTTTTTCATGTGTAAGTAGCAGTTTGTTAGCTAAAATGGTTTTAACCATAAAACGTAGAAACCAAAACATACGTAGAGAAAACATGTAACATGAAAAAATGTATATAGGAGTTTTGACCAGATTTAAAACCGACAAACTCTCTGGTTTATTTATGTTGGTTCCCCACATAATAAGAGCACTGCTGTGTTTTCCTCAGATTGTAGGAGGTTGTGGGAATAGGTTTCTCCAAATTGCAATTGCTCAGACCCTGTGGTCCCATTCCTGGTGGAAATACTGTAGATGTTGCAGAGGAGCCGATATAGGAGAGCAGTGATTGTCAGACTTTTTCGCTGCCCAGGCACAGCCTCCCCAAAATAATTAAATTCAGCACCGCAGCTAAAAATCTGAAGTTGGTGTATATTGAAGAGGACCACTGAGAGCCAACTTCAGCTCTCAGCTGGAGGCTCTTACTGGCCCTGATCTTTAGATCTGTGAAAAAAATAGAGCAGAGGGAACACTTAAAGACAGGTTTGTGTAACACTCAATAATGATAATGTCTAGCATTGTGGAACTCTGTCTCTGTGTAAGTATGTTTTTGTTTGTCTATAAGTGCAATTACAGGCATCAGTTGGGCATCATCATCCGTCTAAATACGTAAGGGTCATTGTGGTGTTGCGCTTTGGTTACAAGGACAGGGAAAGGGTAAATGTCCAAGGTCTTTTTTCAGGGTGTTTATGTGCATGCGTGAGTTAGGCTGGACTCTGATAGAGCAGCTTAAACTCTCCACCAAACAGCCATACAGTGGATGGCACTTTTTGCACAGTATTTTTAATGTTTGTCCATTTTGTAAACACATTTATAGAGATAGTGCTGTAAAAGAAAACAATGATAAGTAAGTAGGAACATATACTAGCAAATTAGCTAATAGACATATATATTCACGTACTCACTCACTTACTGAAAAAATGGCACACTGTTTATTCACACGCACGCATGCACGCACACACACCCACACACCCACACACCACACTCACTCACACACACTGTGGCTGCGTGCAGTGGCAGTGTCTGTTGTTGACTGCAATGGACCGTGACAGAGAGAACAGAGCAAGCTCTCTGTGGTTGTCTTCACCCTGACCACACTGACCCAGAAGCAACAACACGCACACCCACAGTTGTGTTTTCATGACTTTTGGGGACATTTCATTAATTTCCTGGAGACCCTAACCCTAACTGCTACCAACCTAATCCTAACCCTTACCCTTTAACCTAATCCTAACCCTTACCCTAACCTAAAACCAAGTCGTTGTCTAAAATGTATAACGATTTACGTTCTGGAGATGTGTATTTTGTCCCCACTAGGAAGGCGAGTCCCTACATTGTAACAGTGTAATCAAATTTATGTCCTGACAAGATGGGTAAAACATGCCTACCCCCCCCCCCCCCCCCCCCACAGGGGGGGGGGGGGGGGGGGGGGGGTGTGTGCAAACATTAATTCTTTGTCTCGCCCCCTCTCCCTGTCTCAGCTTCGTGTACACACATGAAAGGTGGGCATTAACTTAGTGACCCACGACGCTGATTAAAGGCCATGAGTGCCGGCCATGAATATGAAGAGTGTGAGACATTTGTGTGAGTGTGCTGATGTGTCTTCTGGTAGATCCATATCCCAAGTATGTGGCTACATCTTCCCTATAAAGGTCCAGTTTTATTAGTACATTTACCTTGCTTTTAGTTACAAGCATAGTTGGATCATTGTGCTGGCTGTTTTCATGTAATCTTTCCTCTCCGCTTTGTAGAAATGTACTTGTTGAAGTTGGCCGTTTGCTGTAATCAGCCCTTTATGCGACACAGGAACAACAACAACACGTGTCATTCGCTACCCGATCTGTACATCCTGTCCGTTCAATACTGCTCATGTCCAAACTAGTACTACACACCTGTGGTTAAACATTCGAGTAGCGTTAAAGCTCCATTTGATAAAAATGAGTATTAAGAACTTAAATTCAAATTTATTTTAGGTGAAGGTTAATTATAACGTGTCATGATCTGTTCAAATAATCTTTTAAAGTTTAAAAACAGTTGTTTCAAGGATATGTTTTCAGAGCAATGTGAAATAGATATAAGAGAGGGAATTCTGAACTGTTTAACTTTTTAGTTTTTTTAACACACTGGTATGCGTCTCATGCTGGGATGTTGCGGGGTCTCATCTGGTGTGTGAGTTTCTATTTTCTTTAGTAGTGGGGGCAGCTTTCAAACTGTGCTGAAGCACCAGTACCCACTGCGCTGTGACCATAGACCACGCCGGTTCATGCCATTGGAAAATTCGGAGGAGGAAGATGCAATAAAAGGAGCGAAGGAATCAGTCACACAGACAGACAGGAAAAGAAAGGTTCACATAGTTAAGAAGAGTGTAACTGAACCTCATTGGGAAAGAAGGCAATGCAGAGCAACAGAGCAAGCGGAATGGAGTGAGTATTGGTGAGATACTGCTCCCCTCCCAAGGTAAAGAAACAGAGCAAACAAATGAGACAGAGTGGTTTGGATAAAGGCCACAGGGAAGAAGAAAAGGAGACGGAGGAGAGGAGAATATGTCTTAAAAGAGAGAGAAAGTTTGAGTTTAAACTCTCAACCTGAAATTTACCCGGCCACTTTCTTTTAATGGAACATTTAGTTTTACTAATCTTCCCTTACATGCCATTGTCATAAAAATATTTATTCAGCTACATGAAAGCATTCCATTCATACTAATTCTATTATTATTATTATTATTATATAATAATAATTCTGTTTTACCATGTTATTTTCCGAATTGAATCTTCTCACTGTAGGCTCGATATTGTAGTGTGTTTTTGACAACCCGGGCAATCTACTAGCTGTAAGCCATTTGAGCAGGTTTGTTAGTGAGATTAATGTGTGATGAGGTATGGAATTGTGTGTACAGTAAACATGCCAGGGATTGCGACAATGTAGACTAATGACGATGTTATGCGCACAGTATGTTTGCACATGTGTGCATGTGTGGCTGATAACAGTTAGTGCTCGTGTGTTTGGTCATGTTATAGGACTCTTGTGTGCCCACAATGTAATGTGCATGTTCTGTGGTAAATGAGTAGCTGCATGAAGGACGCAGTAAGAGGAGATTGAGAAGACGCCATTTCTGCTCTACACATGCAATAGAGAGGTGACAGGGAGTTTTTCCCTCACAGATAGACTGTGAAAATATGGCCCACTGCATATTTTTGAAGCTATCAGTGACCAGCTTGCTCCTGTTGTTGCTAAGTTGACGTATGGTTCACTGGAGCTAATAGTGAAAAAGTGTTTTTATATCAGCCGATATGGACATAAAAGAGTCAGCACTGAGAAGAGAAGCTCCAGTTATTTGTAATACCAATTGGTTAGCTACAATATGACGTCTAGTTCTTATTTAACCTGATAGTGAAATAACTACGTATATTCACCTTTTAAAACACCTGCTGACTAATATTTAGATTTGTTTTTCTCTGACTGTACATACACTGACTCTGTCAGTTCCTCTACAACCTCTCCTTTTCTATCTGTTGACACACACACACACACACACACACACACACACACACACACACACACACACACACAAAAAAAAAACCACACCCACAAAATCACTCCTCTATCTGTCCGGGGGCCTCAGGATGACCTCTCCAGCTGGCACACTGTGTTCTAGTATTGTCACTACAGCCTTGCGTTTGAGCCGTGTCAAAGATAATCACATTGGACCCGCCTCCTCTAGCTTAGGCTGTCAGTTACGGAAAATAGGCCAGCTTCACACACACACACACATACACACACATACACACACAGGGTTTGATGGGAGTACATTCTTTTTTTTTTTCCACGGATGCTGGGCTATTAGTAGAACTTGTCTAAATGACTCTCACGAATATAAAATGAAATTTACGACAGTAATCATAGTTTTCTCAGCAATTACGTTGTGGAAGCTTCTCAGCCTCAGCCAAAATGGAAAAATATATAATATTTATATTTTCACCAAGCACAGGTGTTACTAATAACATTAATGATGTTATGATGTTCTAATCAAGTGCCCCAGTAAGCTGTGACAGCTGAGCCTGTGAGGCAGCATGCCCAACACCGAGATCATGAAACTAATGCAGCGACGTGGAAATCAGCCATCATTCATTTTTATTATTTACACCTGTGCTCTTCCTGCTATGACATGTCATGTTCTCGGCTGAAAGAGACCTATTAAATTTGAACGTGTGTTGGCTGCAGATAACACTTCAGATGATACTTTGGCAGGGTTTTTAGTCTGCTCAGATGGTCCAGGTGTGCATGAAGCCTGGGCGTGACTGTGTGTCATGCTTTCCAATACTGGATCCATAACCAAATACATTTACTTATAAACTGTCCTCACCTAACCTTATAACGGCAAGAGAGGAAGCCACCAATTTGTGTGTAATACATTCCAATGATTTCAGTGAATATGTGCAGTATTGTAGCTTTACTGCGTGCAGAAATGAACTCACAAATACATTTATACTTACTTGTGTAATATTTTCACTTCTTCTTGCAGACGCAGACTGTTCAGGAGGCTCTACAGCGAACTCTAAAATTCTACAGGCAACAAGAGATCAGGTAAGACTGTCTTTACCGCTTGCTGTTGGTCTCTCTTGGTGGTTCTCTTTCTGTCTGCCGTCCTCTCTTGTCAGTCTCCACTGCGCACTTGCTGTCTACGTGCTGTCTTGTTGTAGCGTCCCTATCACTCATTTTCTCCCCTATGCCTTTATTTTTTCTCTCTTGTCTGCCTGTGTCTGTCTGTTTGAGCCTCTCATTCTCCCTGCCTTCCTGTCTTTTTTGGTCACACTGACAGACAGACAGAAGGACGGACAGAAGGACGGACAGGCAGACACACTCATATATAGACGCACTCTTTCACCTCTTGTCTCTGCCTCTCTCTCACTGTCCCTCCCTGTCAAAACAGTAAAACGCAGTAGAGAAGATTCATCCAGGCACAACACGTACCAACATTGTCCATGAAGCACATACTGAATACAAATATAGAAAAGCACATTGGGACCTCTCTAGATTTTTCTAGTTTTCTTTTTCTGTCCTGTCAACTCTCCTTCACCCCTTGGCCTTACTTGTTGTCACTCATTTGTTCCCTGTTTTATTCATGTACAGTGCAACTGACTCCTGTTTTACTTTAAGCAAATCATATAATGACACATGGTAGTCTGTCAATAATTATATAAATAGTCTCTCAATTATTTTGAATCCAAAAAAAGCAACCTGAAAGCAATGGTATTCCTTCTGTTGGACAGAACATGTAATGGTGCAAATGTTAAAGATTAAACTTGTGACTAGAGGGTCTCTGGTCTAATTCCCAGACTGAAACAAATCTGTGGGAAGTGAAAGAGCACGAGGTGACCTTGAGAACATTTCCCTGCCTTTCTGCTGTTTCACTAGATCTGCACATCGACCAAAAATACGAACCTACACAAGCTAATTAAAGTGTAAAATGTTTATTCAGTATATTCTAACTTAACTTTTATTGTATCTATCTATTCAAATAGATTTTTTGCCACCACCCCAACAAACACATTTTTTTTCTGTAGAGCTCATTGCACTGGAAAATCTACTCCAGAAAAAAACTCTGTCATTCAGAACAACCCACAACTGCCATTGTTTTTTTTTTTTAATGGATCGACTTTCTCATGAAGAAATATTCCTAAAGAACTGGTATCAGCACAGTTTGCAGTGAACTATTACACAGTCTGATGGCTTTTGGCACAAAAAAATCCACACAAAAACCCCATCCACAGTATGTCTTGAAGGGATGAGATGTGGGTTCATTGTGTCGTTAGCTTATTAGGGCCGTATTATCTCTTCTTATTTGCCGATCTCATGGCTAACCATGGCTTACGCTGAGTGTGTTTGGTTTATGCCTTTGACAGGTGTCAGGAAGATGGCAATGAGGAGAGGCAAAGAGAAAGGAGAGATGAAAAGTGCCCCTTTCTAGAAAATTCTGGTTCAGAAGAAGATGTCCTACAAATCCTACAGTACATGGCAACCATACTGGGTGAGTAAAGTAAGATGTGTGTGTGTGTGTGTGTGTGGTCTCCACTGCATACAAGTTGGTGTGGTAATGAGTATGTGTATGTATGTATTATAGTTTTCAAAGCCATCCCACAGAGGCTAGACCTTCAAAACACATGGTAGACACTAATATAGTATTCTATGGAACCATTTTATGCCGCTTACCTGAATGTGAGTCATGGTGGCAGCAAGCAGTAGACTAGACATCCTTCTCCACATGCCATGGCTTCCTGCTCTTCCTGTGGGATCTCAAGGTGTTCCCTGGCCAGAAGGGATATAAAATCCCTGCAGCATGGTTATCCCAGGGATCTCGTCCCAGTTGGATGTGCTTGGAATGCATCCACAGGGAGGCGTCCACCAGGCCTTGCTGCCAATAAAGACGTCTGTGCCCATGCCACCTCAATTGACTCATTTCAATTAGAATGAGCAATAATTCCACTCTATGTCCATGGTCCTTCAATTGTCCTACAATCTACAACCTACAATGGCTCTATTATGATGTTATCACTGCAAATTTGACATGTTTTTAACAGCATTTTTCCATTGCGTCACTTCTTACATTAACTTCTTGGCAGTTTTCTCTGCAAGTCTGTATAATTATACACTTTTAAGTCGTTATTTATGTTTTTCAAATTTTGTTTATTTTCTTTCACATTTTGAGATTTTTTGTGGTATCAAGTTTTATTTATAATAAATAAATATCAGTTTTAATTGAGCTATAATCCCTTAATCCTATTTTTTTTCCTGAGTTATTATTCAGTTAGTAGGCATGTGACATGATTATTTTATCTTATCAATATTCATTATTTGAACAAGGCTTTGATGTTTGATTACTTTGAACAGTGTTATTTTGTGATTGATTTGCTTAAAATTACTTTTGCTGAATTCAAATCTTGGTCAAGACATTTCATGGAGCAGATGTAATGCTGGGTTTCATGTAGAAGGCAGCTGTAAGGGGAAATTGTCACACACGCTTAGGGTGATGCATTGAGAAATAATACTGAAAGACAGTGATCAAAGATGCAAGTTTTTTGTTGCTGAATGACATGTCTTCTCAATCATATTGCTTATATTCATAGGTCGATTTTTTTAAGTCAGTGTGGGTATTCGATTGTGTGCATGTGGGCAGGTTAGGTGTATTGTTGTGTCATCAGTTCATGATGTTATCCTCAAAAGAGTGCTATTCGACATCGCTGACGTCGATGTTTTGCATCCTCTCTCTCACAGGAGTACCATTCTGTGAGCTGCGAGAGCATTTCGGAGAAGAGTTCTTTGGCCTCTGCTTTGAAGAAAATGAACGAGTGCTTCGGGCTGTAGGCGGCAACCTCCAGGACTTCTTCAATGGCTTTGACGCCATTTTGGAACACATTCGCACCTCCACGGGGCGCCGGGCCTCATCTGAGAGCCCCTCCTTCCAGTGCAAGGATCCCTATGAAGAAGAGACAGGGAGAAGAAAATTGGATAAAGATGGAGAGCAGGGAGAAACAGATGGAAGAGGGAAGGTGTTGCTTTTACATTGTTTCAACCCTGCCTCTGTTGTTGGCTTGGTCATGCCAGGGTTTATCAGAGCTGTTGCCAGGCGGATCTTTCATTTGGAAGTTGAGGTGGAAGAGGTGCCACCTCTAACTCCCTTGTTGCCCAATGAAGATACAGAACACGCAGACGGAGCCTCCACAACCCCAACCCCGACTGCGTCCCCCACTGCCACACCCTCCTCGTCCCCGTCCCCTTCCCCTCCCTCTCCTTTCCCAACCTCTGTTTCCACAGTTTGCTTATCCTTCCAAATCCAGGAGACAAGCCCTCCTTCCCTCTCCTCCCTCTCAAATGCTGCCTCAGTGGGCACTAAACGCCCCCTTTTTTCACTCTCCACCAACCCCAGTGATCTGTGCATATCCCTGGCCACGTTTTGCCGTGCCTTTCCGTTTCACCTTGTCCTGGGGCCTCGCATGGAGCTACTGCAGCTTGGAGAAGGATTGAGGAAACAGGCTCGCATTGAGCCTCACCGGACCCTCTTGTTCAAGGACTTTTTTGAGATTGTCTCACCCAAGATGGATCCTTCATTCCAGGGTATCCTGCTGAGACTTGCATCCCCATTTACCATCCGCACCAGGCCTGATTCCACACAGTCTGACACCAAGGAGAAGGTAATACATATCTCATACATAACTGATGACACTGTTGCTCAAATCCTACTTTTCACCACATATTTTAGAGAATTATTGCAATTTTAGTGTAGTTGAACATGTCTATTATTTGTTCTAGTCTGAGTCTTGTAGGGTGCGTAGTAGTGTTGTTGCCCACCATTAAAGTTTGGGTGTACCAAGCGAAACATTAAGAAAACTGTCTATACTGAATGCCATTCCACCCGCACGCCTGTGATGTTTCTGCATGGGAAGAATGAGGTTTGAATTAGTTCCAAATTGCCAGAAACAATTAATACTTCAGAGTTGTATGCTATATCCAGTTCTTTATTTGATTGGGGGGTCAGCGCAGGCTGTCAGTGTCGGCACCAAACTCCCTGATGATAAATAGAACTGACAGAGAGGAGATGGATCAGTTCAGCCACATTGCCGTGTGTGTGTGTGTGTGTGTGTGTGTGTGTGTGTGAGAGAGAGCGAGAGAGAGCGAGAGAGGGAGAGCGAAGCCTGCAGCCTTATAACTAAGTTTGAAAAACAAAACTTGTTTTTTCCACTAAATTTGTCCATTTAAGTACATACAGGAAGATTATAGAGGAAGATTTTACTATAATACTATAATACTCGTAATTTCTGTATCCAAGCAACCAATCTACTTCCTGTTTACACAGGCACCCACATGACCAGCGTACGTGAATTGTCATGTGATAAAACCCCGGTTTTAAATGCAAATGTATAGTGTGGATGTAGCCTAAGTCGCATTCTAAAAAAAATAGGAGTACTGGTATATTTGTATTGAAGTACTGAAACATGGGCTCCTATGAGAGCAGATGTGTACCCTTTGATCCACCACAAAAGTATAAACTAGTTTTGATAGTTTGGTTCCAAATGGTAAGGGTATAAAAAGGCGTTTAACAGAGACTACTGCTTTTCTGTGGTGTCTCGTCTAACTGGAGGCCGAGTCTGTGAGTGAACCAGACAAAATAAGGATTTGTTTGAGAGTGACCTGCACACAATGCCAGCTCTTATGCACATGTACTGTTTAGGCGTGTCTAAGCACACCTGCTATTTTTTGCTCATGTAGGCAAAGCATCACTATGAGTAAAAAGGTGGGTGAATATAAATGGTATGTGAATTGGAGTTAGTAAAGGTAAATCATAATCCTTTCAGCTAGTCACTTTACTTGTCTCATACTTTTTAACAATTCACAGAGGTGTGAAAATGGCTCAGCCTTACCGATTGTAGAGATGGCTTGTCCAAATAGGAAAATTATATTATGTTTTATGTATCACGGCAAGATGTGAATAAACAGCACCACAGATCTGCAGCCAAAGGCAGATGGTGGTGTTAAAAGTCCTGTCATGTCATGTTTTCCTGTCAGAGCCCTGTTTGCACCAGTCTTTGCCCTGGCACGTAAATAGAACCCACAGACAGCTAGCATAATCACACGGCTCACAAACCAGTTACAATACATTTTCTAAACATCCCTGATACAATTATTTGCAGATTATGCCAAGTAATTTGTTTTAGTATGCTACAAGATGCATGATGATTCGGGTGGTCTGCTGCTTCATTTCAGTTCATGTCATGTCAGTGCTGCAGAGAATGTCTTATGTTCAGGATTAAATAGGGCAATGTATCTTGTATAAATCTAGATATTACTTTTGGCGATCTTTTTTGATTATTTGAGTCATAGTTTTGTCTATGAAGTCAGTAAATAGTGAAAAATTATCATTTCTCACAGCCCAAGATGAGGTCTTTGAATGTCTTGTTTTATACATCCAACAGTCCAAACCTCAAGATATTCAGTTTATTTTCATGCATGATAAAGAAAAGCGTCAAATTCTCACAGAAGTGATTTGAGAATTTGGAACTAGCAAATGATTAGCATTTTAACTTGAAAAATGACTGAAACATTAGATTACCAAAATAGTTGCCAATTCACTTTATGACTAATCGCTGCAGATCTCCTATTAATATGTTTTGAGAACATATTTCAAGATGACACTACCCACGGTTGTTAATATAAATAGGAGTAGCTACGATGTCACAATTTGTGAACAGCACAAAAGTGAATCATTCATATGGGCTCCTCCCATACATGTTGTTTGCACTGCAATGTGAAGGCTAGGATAGTGTTCCAGCTGTGTGTACACAGAGCTCTAATTGGGTGATTTTGGACTTGTTTTGGCCAAATAAACCAATCTCTGGGTTTAGTGCATTAATCTGAACAGATGACAACCAAACACATGGTACATAGGTTCACAGATCCTCCATACATGCATGCGGATGCACATAATGAGACACTACAATGCTCACAGTAGCTGCAGGATTCCCTTCCTCGAGGACCACTACAATACATCTTGTCTCTACCTGTCATCTACTCTCTGTCAGTGTCTCTCATGAATTCACTATCATTATCTCTCCCTCTCTGCTACTTACCCATTTCTATTTTTGACCTCGCATTGCAGTGTTTCTTCTCTAACATATTCCCAGCTTTTTTTTAATTGCTCCGTCTTACGGATTCAGACTTACTTCATTTGAAAAGGGGTTATAGCTCAACAATGGAAAAGCAACAACAATTGCTCAAAAAGTGCTTTTTCTTTCATGAGTCTTCCTTTTTCTCCTTTTTCACTTCTCTATTAGAGCAAGAGAAACAGACTTTACTCTGTTTTTTATGGCTGGCACACCAATAGCATCACTCCCAAATGTGTAGTTTACTGTAACTGCTACTAAGCTTTTGCAGGTTATGATTCAACAGTATCTTCTTTTATTGTTTTCAATGGCATGTGTTCTCTCGGATTTTCGTGGATCAGAGGGAATGTAGGTGTAATTTTAGTGTAATCCGAAGTAAAATTGTACAAGACGCAATAAAGACTTATTCTTTGCTTTTGGATAAATCAATCATATTGAGCACATTGTCACTGTTGCCTCACTAATGTATATTAGTATGTGTTTGTGGCTGTTAACCATTGATAATATTTGAGTCTTTGCCTTTTTAGATGCCAGATGAATGGGGCTGGCAATGTACGTGACTCCCTGACAGGAGGTTCAGTCAAAAGATTGTATTTGAGTTCAGGGTCGGCTGAAGTATCAGTGTTCTGGTTTGGTGTGGTGGCCTCTTAATCTGTCTTTCTTATCTCTCCCATCCGCAGCCCACTGGTTGAAAAAAAGGCACTTCGGCACATTCATGCTGTTTTCAGTGAGTCAGTGTAGCTGCTTTTTCTGTTCCTTTTTTTATGTGTATCACCATTAATTAGACCTGGTACTGCTGAAGTTTAAGTTAGACACTGGCTCCAAGCTCCAAACACCATCATAGACACTTTAGAATCGGTGTTGCAGTATGTGTTTGTGGAGTTGGACGGACGGCCATTGTTTTACTTTATTTTTGCCGTATGAATCTTGTGTCACCTGGGCGGAGAAGCAGAACAAAGGGGGAGAGAAAGAGAAGGCCGGGCTGACATTTTCACTAGAAAGGGCAGCGAGAGAAGGCGACAGGCCAAGGTAAACAGGCCACAAAAGAGCACCCCCCTGTGTTGCACTATGTGTGTATTAGAGTACCCTGTAGTGGAATTTCAGTTTGACTTCTTTCCTTTCTTCACCCAGGGACATGGGCTGTGCAAGAGGCATCCAAAGACCTCCTGAAAAGGTCAAGTCCCAGCTCTCTCTGTCTCCCCGCTTAGTGTGAGCACTGTGATCCGCACACAGGGGAGCGTACACAGGTTGCACTGTCAAAAGCTATCCTCTAACCAGTTCCTCACTTGTTAATCATGTCTCCTTTACACCACAGTTTCCTTCATCCTTAAAGGTCCCATATTGTAGAAAGTAATATTTCCCAGTCACTTATTATTATGAAGCAGGTCTAGGTGCTATATAAATACTGTGCAAGTAAACGCGCAATCGTCGCAGAGATGCACACTGCCCATATTCAGAAACTGTGCTTTTAAGCAAGCAGTCAGGACTTCCGTACAGTCGTGATGTCACAACTATACAGTCACCGGTAGAGGTGCCGCTGTGAAGAAGGCTTGATAAAAGGTGATGTTTTTCGAAGCTTGGAACAGAGTTGAACTAAGCTCAGAAATCTGCATATAGGCTTTTATTGGTTATAAGACACATCAACAAGGTTATGCACTCACTTTTTGAGGAATGTAGTATTTAGCCTGCTAGAAAACAGGACATGTAAATGTTGATGTCATTTGTTTGGGCCAGGGCCAAGCTGTGGATGTAGACTTATTTCCTTTTTCTTAAGAACAACAGGATGAATACGATAGAGAGTCCATGATTCACAACACCTGCCTCCGCATTAGCGATGCCATCGCTGTAAACACCCAAAAGCTCCCAGACTCTGTGGATCATAGAGTCAGAATTCTGGTTAGGATGAGTCAGTGCTTTTTTTTATGGTTCTAAGTGAACACCGTGTGTGGAGCCGGAGCCCTAAACCAGCAGTTGTTTTGGTTTCAGCTGATTGTTAGTTGTAGACCAAATGCCATGAGTATTCAGACACAATCCCTTCTCTTTTCTATGACATTTGTACCCAATGCAATATGCTGTGGGAGATCGAGGACAAGGAAGATTTGTGGAAGTTAAAGGAGTACTTCCGTGAGGCACGAACAGGATGTTCAAATTTGCAACGTCATACTTGTTATTTAACTAATACTCCTGTATTGCATTTGCAGGGGTTGCTGAATGAGCTTTGTCTGTGCATGTGTCCAGCTGCGTGTCTGAGTACAAAGACAATTTCGACATTAGCACCACCTTTGATCCGTTTCTAGATAAATCACTGCCATGATGGTTCGTTTGTTCGGTGGAGAAAGTGCTTTGAAAATCACGGCCCTCTTTGTCTCTGTCTACTTTTGATAAATTTACAAAACAGGCCAAATGAAAATACAATGAAGGAGGAAAAACGGGCATAGAGACAGGAATAAAACACCAGAAGTAATAAACAAGACAAACATATTTTAGTCTGATTGTTGAAACAAAGATGAAGAGAATAGAATGTCTTAATACTT